CTCAACCCTGATTTTAGAATCTGAAATTTTCTCAGCAAATTAAGCAAGGAACTCAAGGATGTGAAATCCTCACTGACCTGAAGAGCAGTAACTCCATTAGCTTCACTAAATTTACTCCGGGCAGAGAGCATGAATGATACGATTTAGGGAAGAGGAAAATTCATAGGCAAAAACTTCGGCAGAAAACCTGGAGCGGAAGAGGGACTTGAGACTAATAAATAACTTGCCGGAGCTCATTTCCATTAATAACACATTACAGAAACATTAATAACAGCACAGAAATACTGACTTCAGTTTTATTATCAGGCTGAACTTTTCCAAGGGGAAGTAGCTGGCATTGGCGCTCCAGAACAGCAACGTTATAGGGCTTTAAGGAATACGCATATGTCCAAAATTATCAATTTTTGTATTAAAAAGACTCTGATGTTTCCAAGGGCTGTTTTTTAATGTCTGGAGACACTGAAGACAGCAAAAATGTCTTTGTAAACGTTTCAGCCTTTTAAGAAGCATATGATCATTTGAGAAACTGAATTTGCTTCTTTTGTAGATAAACGATACCTTCCCTAGAGGAGTCGTTGCTAACGGGACATTAAAAATGAAGTGACCAGGAAAACAGCTATGGTAGGAGGGCTAATGAAGCACTTGCTCAGTGTATTATCTTTTTGTGGAAGAGCACGTTACATCTCCACCACCGGCAATCGCTTGGCTACAGTCAGCAAAAAGGATTAAGGAAGAAAGAAAAAGAAAAGGTACGACAATAGCACATAGAGAGAAAGCCTCAAATCACATCTCCGCTGTATACACTCATTGGCATGACAAAACTCCAGTAGCTTTTGTTTTTCATTTTGGACAGGAAAATGTCTCTTGGAGGGAAACATCTGTAGCTGGGAGTGTGCTCCGACATCTCTATAAAGGTTTCTGTGCTGCTGGTGTAACTTTTTATTTCTACTCAACGACGGGGCTATACAGCTCTATTAAAGACCAAAATATCTTAGTAAAATATGACCTACAACACCGTATAAGAGCTGAACGAGGAAACAGCCTGAGTCTCTCCAACAGCTCCCACCAAGCGCTTTCTCTGTCTCTCTCGCACACGTCCGTTTTGGGAAACGCGTGACCCCGCACAGACACGCGTTCGCATCTCACCAACGTAGAAAATTTATCCAAAAGGTGAAACAAGTGGAGTGGAGCGAGACAAAGGCCTTATTTAAATAATAGATGCAAACGTCTTTATTAAAGTGAGAATTTAGTTTGAATAGCATACTCTACTAAAAATAGACCCCTGAAATTTCAGAAAAAGTATGACCCCAACCCCCCCCCCAAAAAAAAAGCCCACCTGGTGAGGACCAGCGTCCTCGGGACCACTCTTGCACGATAAAGGCAAACTCTTAGAAACACTTAGAAATTCTAATTCACCATTAGAAAAGGGAACAGTGGGAAAGAATAAAGCAAGCCAGCATTCCTCCACGCTGCAGAACATTTAAGCAGAATTAAACGCAATTACAGAAGCACAGTTGCAGGGCCCAGAGGCTGGGGCCACCCTGCTCCCCCGGTGGCGCCGGGGGCCGCACCGTCGCCCTTTCCCCCCTGGCGCGAGGGGCTCCCTCCCTCTTTCCTGCCATTCTCTGCTCCCAGCTCTTCCGTGAGAGCAACCGACAGCACCATCCGGCCCCAGCGGCCAGCTTCATTGCACCTTTCAACAACAACATAAAAAAAAAAAGGACTAAAAATAGAGCTGGATTAAAAATAGATGCAGACCAGCCCTGCCGGACACGAGCAGCGGGAGCCCAGCACGCTCAGCTGCTCATGGAGATCAAGCTGTGTTTAACGAACCTCTGGGTGTCAAAGGTGCAGGTTCGCATTAACGCCGGCTTCCACCGCGCGCGTTAGCTGGGTATGGCAGACCGGGCCATAAAACCTGGTCTTGGACATTGACGATCTGGTAAAGCATAGTGCAAAGGGTAAGTCTAATGTATCCTCAAATGAGGAACACCACCACCACCAACAACAACAAAAAAAATCAATTACTTATTAAGATCTCGCTTTGATCGAGAGCAGTGTCTTTACGAGAGCTTTGCAGAGGCGATGCTCAGGGACGCTTCCTCCCGCCCGGCGCTCTGCTCCTCGAGCCAGGGGGACGCGGTGAGGACAAGCGAGCGATGCCCTCACGAACCAACCATTTACAGGGTCAAGTATCCAGATCTCAAACGGCATGGTGACGAAAGCTTGTTCACATGGACTGGGAAATTGTCCAAGCATTTAAGGGTGATTTAATTTAATTGTGGATGATGCAATACACATATGGCTGGGAAGTTATATGCCAGGAAACATGCTTTCGATAAGTATTTTAGCAGGCAGATGGCACACAATAGTCTTGGTGTAGTCATTTCCCCACCTCTTAAAAGTTGCTATTTTGGACAGATGAAATAATTTAATTTCCACCACCCTCCCCAGGCACCAGCACCACAGACCCAGAGGATGTGCAGTCTGAGAGGACTATTTCTTCACAAAAAAAAACACCCCATGGAACAAATCAAACCTTACACTCACCTACCCATTTTCACTCAAGGGCTTCAAAGCATTTTAATAACTTTCCCACTTAGATTGAACATGAGCAAGCGTTAACTTTATGGATGAGACCAGAGGAACGTGGGAGTGGCTGG